CCGGCCGGCCGAGCTCCAAGGAGGGCCGGCGCAGCGACACGTGCGAGTACTGCGGCAAGGTGTTCAAGAACTGCAGCAACCTGACGGTGCACCGGCGGAGCCACACCGGCGAGCGGCCTTACAAGTGCGAGCTGTGCAACTACGCGTGCGCGCAGAGCAGCAAGCTCACGCGCCACATGAAGACGCACGGGCAGATCGGCAAGGAGGTGTACCGCTGCGACATCTGCCAGATGCCCTTCAGCGTCTACAGCACCCTGGAGAAACACATGAAAAAGTGGCACGGCGAGCACTTGCTAACTAACGACGTCAAAATCGAGCAGGCGGAGAGGAGCTAAGCGCGCGAGCTTGGGCACCTGTCCGCGCCGCCCTCCCGCAGTACGCCTACCTGACTGCCTCCGTCACCGTCACCGCCACTGAGCGCCCGGGGCCACGGGAGGCGGCACCCCAACCTAGCCTGTGTCTGCGAAGTCCTACGGAAACCCGAGGGTTGATTAAGGCAGTAAAAATTGTGGAGCCTTTTAACTGTGCAATAATTTCTGTATTTATTGGGTTTTGTAATTTTTTTTTGGCATGTGCAGGTACTTTTTATTATTATTCTTTCTGTTAAAGTTCCTTTAAAAGATTTTGTTGGGTATCCATCCCTTCTTCATTTTTACCCCCGAACACAGTAGTCTGAGCAATGACTCGCAAGCAATGTAGATGGGAGGCGTATCTTTTAAATTATAATTTTTTTGGGGGGGAGGGCGCTGCTTTTTAAAAATTTAAGCTAAGCATGTGTAATTTCTTGTGAAGAAGCCAACACTTACATGACTTTTAAAGTTGTTTACTTTTTCATTTTTTCCCCTTTTTTGGGTTTTTGTTTTGTTTTGTTTTTTGGTCCTAAAATAAAATGTGGCATGAATTTTTTTGAGGGGTGTGTGTGTGGATGTACAGCGGATAACAATCTTTAAAATCATAGCACTTTGTTTCAGAATTGGAATGGAGATGTAGCACTGATGACACGTCACAGAGGCCTTTTCTGTGTTGGTTTCAACTGTCGAGTTGTGATAAGGGAAGCCTGTAGTGGGGCCGGCGGGGGAGGCAGCGCACAGACCAAGCACGGGTGGAGGCTGCTCTGGGAAGAGGCCCGCAGGTGTGTGTTACCGGCACATGCTGGTATTTCCTGGCATGCTGATGCCCCCATGCCAGCTCTGCCCTGTGCTGTCAATTTGGCTGCATTAAAAGGGCCTAGGGTACTTCTTATTGGGTGGATGGTGGTGGCCTGCCGTGACACAGAAAGGAAGCGTCCCCTGGTGTTCTCCCTGGCTTCTGATTTGACGACTTCTCCCTTTTTCTCACCCCATGCTATAATTCCTAAGTGTATGTTGCTACAAGTGGTCGTTGGCCATTTATTTCTCAAGCAGGCAGACACCTTGATGGTACATTGGGAAGTTGGTGTCCTCTCGTTTGATGCACACTGGTGACCTTGTATAGACGGGGGAAAACTTTCAAGTTTCTGCCCCCTTCTCCTGGAGAAGCAGGGGAGAGAGTTCCATCCAGGGGTGCCCAGCGCTATTTCCCATTTTTTTTCCCTCTGATTAGGTTGGAAGGTACTAAACATTGGACTGTTAGGATTAGACATTTGAATTCTGTTGACCCGCACTTTAAAGCTTTTGTTTGCATTTAAATTAAATGGCTTCTAAACAAGAAATTGCAGCATCTGCTCTTTGGCCCAGAGGTGGGTTAAACCCTAAGGGACAGCTGAGATTGAGTGTCAGTGTTGCTAAGCGTGGCATTCACAATACTGGCACTATAAAGAACAAAATAAAATAGTAATTTATTGGACAGTTTTTCTACTGCCATTCAATTTGATGTGAGTGCCTTGAAAACTGATCTTCCTATTTGAGTCTCTTGAGACAAATGCAAAACTTTTTTTTTTGAAATGAAAAGACTTTTTAAAAAAAAGTAAAACAAGAAAAGTACATTCTTTAGAAACAAACAAAGCCACATTTACTTTAATTAAAAAAAATTCTGGTTGAAGATAGAGGACATGAAATGCCGTAAGACCCAATCAAAGGAAGAATTAAACCCAGCACAACCGTGGACACCCATTAGCTGAAGTATCTTCAGCTCCTTTTGTTTTTGGGACAGTGCTGCTTAGATATTGGACTGGAGGTGATTTACTGCTGAATTAAAACTCAAGTGACACAAGTTGATATCGTTGGATTAAAAAAAACAATTCAGGAGCAGCGGCTAATTTTTTCTAAAGTTAAATTTAGTGCACTCTGTCTTAAAAATACGTTTACAGTATTGGATACTTACAAGGGTAAAAAAAAATCGTGTGTATGTGTGTTGGAACGATCTTTTTTTTTTTTTTTTTTTAAAAAAAAACTTTTTTTTCCTTGAAAATGTTGCAGTAAAATTTAAATGGTGGGTCTATCAATTTGTTCTTGTCACAGTAACTGTAAAGTCGGAGTTTTAGTAAATTTTTTTCTGCCTTGGGTGTTGAATTTTTATTTCGAAAAAAAAATGTATAGAAACTTGTATTTGGGGTTTAAAAGGGGATTGCTACACCATGTAGAAAAAGTATGTAGAAAAAAGTGCTTAATATTGTTATTGCTTTGCAGAAAAAAAATCACATTTCTGACCTGTACTTATTTTTCTCTCCCCACCTCTCTCTGGAATGGATATATTGGTTGGTTCGTATGATGTAGGCACTTGCTGTATTTTTACTGGAGCTTGTAATTTTTTAACTGTAAGCTTGTCCTTTTAAAGGGATTTAATGTACCTTTTTGTTAGTGAATTTGGAAATAAAAAGAAAAAAAAACAAAAACAAACAGGCTGCCATAATATATTTTTTTAATTTGGCAGGATAAAATATTGCAAAAAAATTTGTATGTTAAGTCCTATTGTACAGCAGAAAAAAAAAGGGGGGGGTTGTTTGACAACCTTTGAGAAAAAGAGACAGAAAGAAGTAGTTCAGTGCTTTGGTTTGCAGATTGTTTTAGTTGTATATATTTTTGTCGGAATTGGCCTACACAAAGAAGGGTTGGAGATGAGCTTGAGCTCAACTCCCCAACTTTGCCCCAGGGCACCTTGGTGTGGCCACAGCAGACGGGATGGGAAATACTCTGTCTTGAGTGGAAAAATCGGTTTGTGTTAAGATGTTGGTCACATTCCACAGTGTCCTCCCTTCCTCTCAGAGGCCATCTGTGAGACCGCAGGTGTCCAGGAGAGACATAAGAGGTCCCCTTCCTTCTCTGCTGTTGCCTCTGTGGTGGTCAGCACCACCTCTGCCAGCCTGCGGGCAGAAAGAAGTGTAAACACCCTGCTGTCGTCCTTGAGAATACAGGAAACAACCTTGAGCCAGCCAGCCAGGTCCAGGGGCCGGTGCGGGCGGGTGTGAGAAGGGAGACCCTCGCCACCAGGACCTTCTGTTCATGGAGACGTTGGCCTGTTTTTCTTCCCTGGTTTGCTGCTTTTCTCTCCGAAACCTACATTCCGTCAGTTCAGAATGCTGAGAGCCTGGGATGCATGAATTCGGTGCCTTTCCATCTCTCTCCTCCCTCTGCGTTCCCCTCCATCCTCCAGCCTCCGTCTGTCTTGTATCTGTTCATTTCATTTTTATTTAACTTCTGTTCATTCTCTCTCTCTGTCTTTCCCGACTCTGCCCCTCTTTTTTATTTTATTTTTTTTGTAAAGCTAAGTAGCTTTAAGATAACAAAAGTGGTGGTCTTTTGGATGAGGGAATAATACATTTTTAACAAATACCTATATCAGGAAGCCATTTTTTTAATTTCAGGAAATGTAAGAATCCATTATTTCAGGTTATGGAAGTATAACCAAGCATCCTTCTAGGCAATTCTTTACCAAATGCAGAAATCGTTCTTCTGGGAGCTTTTCTGTTGGCGCTGTTTTTCCCCCACTCCCCTTTGCAAGGTTAAAAGATAGGGGCAGGGGAGTGAGCAAGAAAGTGGAGTTTTAGTTCCCTGCTTGCTCAGCCTGGGTGCCTGGGCTGCCTTCCTGCCCCTAACCTCTTCTCTGTTAGCTGCTGCAGAGCCCCAGTGGTGATGTCCTGTGGCCTTCCCTCACATAAAATCACCAGAATGCCAGGACTAAGCCATCCTAGAGCACAGGGATTGTGTGTCTCTGTGGACCACAGAGAGGAGAATTTTGCTTCTCCGTCTGTTAAAATGATAATAATAATAATACACCCCAAAGCAGGTGACACGGAGAGAGGGCTTGGGCCTGGGTGATCCAGCCAACCTCAGGCTGGGTTCCACACTGCCACAATTTTGCCCAAAGTTACCCCCCATTGGAAACTGCCACCTGCCATTGGAGAGTCTGCCAAGGGGAGAGGAGACTGAATTACTCTAAGCAAAATGTGAAAAGTAAGGAAATCAGCCCTGCATCCTGGCCTGTCCATCAGCCGGAAGTTGTGTCGAACACAGGCAAATCTGTGATTTGGTGCTCTTTGTATCTCAGCCCTGCAAAGCAAAGTTACATTGATTTCAGTTGTTTGCATTTGTACCGGCAAGGCAAAATATTTTTATTACCTTTTCTATTACTTATTGTATGAGCTTTTGTTGTTTACTTGGAGGTTTTGTCTTTTACTACAAGTTTGGAACTATTTATTATTGCTTGGTATTTGTGCTCTGTTTAAGAAATGGGCACTTTTTTTTTAATTATGGATAAAATGTTGAGATGACAGGAGGTCATTTCAATATGGCTTAGTAAAATATTTATTGTTCCTTTTATTCTCTGTACAAGATTTGGGGCCTCTTTTTTCCCTTAATGTCACAATGTTGAGTTCAGCATGTGTCTGCCATTTCATTTGTACGCTTGTTCAAAGCCAAGTTTGTTCTGGTTTCAAGTTATAAAAATAAATTGGACATTTAACTTGATCTCCAAACCTTGTCCTTCTCTGTGTCTTTTCAAGGTGGGGAGTGGACAGCTTATTTCCAGGGGTGAGCTGGAGGTCTTTCTCTATTTTCCTGTTGACCCAAAGCCTTGAGCCTATATCCAAGAGGAAGGCAAAAACCCACCAGACACCAACAGTTCTCTGCTGCAGCAAAGCAGTGAGATTAAAGAACACAGTTCACAGCCCTGTTTACACACCAGACTTTCCTTGGAGCTTAAAAAATCTGCTCGGCAGCACCAGAACCAATGCTGTCAGCATCTGAAGTGGATCCCAGAACTGGCATTTTTGAAAGTGATTCAGAGGATTTTTCAACTGAATCAAGAGGAAAAAAACAAAACAAAACAAAACAAAAACCCAGCTGGAGGTATCAAGCTCAGGTCTGGCTTCCTTTGGCTCAGAGTCCTAAACACCTGGTGAGCCATCCAGGAATTAGAA